TGAAGATCAGACTTTGATAGTGAATACCCAGAATTCTGTTCTTTAAATAAGACAGGACCTCCCACACTCACACCTGATAATCATTGTATTGATTGAAACACTTGACTCTAATTTCCCCTTCAAAGATAATCTTAGAAGTTTACATACTTTTGCCACACACAAATATGTAGCTGTGAAACATTTTCCTCAATAAATAAATGAACAGTATAATGTTTTTGACTCATTTGTTTAATTGGGTTCTCTTTATCTAGTTTTAAGACGTGTGGAGAACAGATCAGGTTTTAGTCATATTTATGCATAAATATTGAAAATGCAGATGGGTTCACAAACTTTTAAGCACTACTATATGCTTAGAGTAGCCTTCCCCAATTTCATCCACAGATGTTGGACATATAATTCCATTATTTTCATAATTCTCAACCAGACTACCAAAAGCCTGCCAAATGAAGGCAGTGAGAATTGTAGCACTAGTCATGAGAAACATTCTAGATCCTGGAAAGCTCACTTTAAGTTTTGTAAAAAGAGGCTAAATGAATAAAAAAAATATATTAGTAATACTTTTACCAAAAAAGGTTGAAATACTGTGAATTATTGAATTCAAATCCATCTTCTTTCCAAAGTCATCTTCCCTTTGCATGGCTGGCGTACATGCAGGAGTGGTATCTAATGTTCTTGGAGGTCAAATCAATGTTGTAATCAGCAAAGGTATTCCATACTATGAAAGCTCTCTGGCTAACAACGTTACATCAAAAGTGTAAGTATATGTTCTCTTTTTAGTTATTGCATTTCAAAATTGTTAGAATTTGACATGCAGATAAATCTAAGCTCTGAAACATTAAGCCTGCGCCAGTATTGCAAATATCTTTACAAATTACTGTAAAGTACAGAGTAGATATTAAATACAAGGTTTCATTGAAAGTTGTAAAACTTTTCAAACATGTTTGAATAGTATCAGAATATGTTTTCATGAAATTGCTGCTGTTGCTTAATTGCTTATGGCTAACTTTTGTCTAAAATGTTGACTAGTAAATACTTTTTAAAACAGTGAGTTATGAAGCATTTTAACATCCTTTATGTAATCCAGGAGAGTATTTTTAAGAAATAGACATGAGATATGGTGGAAGTTCAGCATGTTTCAGAGAACTGAAGGATCTATTAGGCATATTTTTCATCATTGATTGCAAAGACTTTACACCTTTTTTAGCTTTCATATGTTATTAATTATTGCCCAGTATCTTGACGTCAAGAAAGCACGCAAGCAAAATAGTAGTTTTTCACTGAGAAGCTTGCAAAACTGTAGGTCTCAATGGGAAGTGGAGCTAACCTGCATACCAACATTTTTTTAAAAGTAGCAGAGACATTATCTAGAAGTCTGGTTTTCCTTCTATTATTTTGAATGTGAAGACTTTTAGTGTGTGGATCTCATTTCAGAAATAGTCTAATAATCTGCTAAAGAATAATGCAAAGTGGTACATTGCAAAATGGTGTATCATTGAGTAATATTCTAGTAAAATACATAGACAGAAATTAACGGAAAACTTTTAATAAGTTGGTAGTAAAATATAGATTTGTGATTTTTTTGTTTTGTTTTGTTTTACACAGAGGCCCTCTGTCTTCAGGTCTCTTCACTTTTAAAACCAGTGGTAAGCCATCATGCCTTTTGATGTTTAATGAGATCTAGACTTTATTCAGCTCTGTATCTCTCCTTCATTTTGAATTTTCCCCTAGGCCTTTCATTGTCATTTCAAACTTGGGACAAAAAGGAGATTGTCTGTTTCCTGTCATTGTAGGAGTTACTGATTTCCTATACACTTTGCCTTGTGATTACATGAAATTGTTAATTTTTGTTTCTAATATTTGTTACGAACAAAAACTGGCATAAAATCCATCCTCCCTTTAACGTAATTATGAAATGTCCATTTCCATAGACACACATTTTCCATGAAAGAACATAATGTCTTATTAATTGTATTTAAATGTGTATATTTCTTTTGCCCTATGTTGAGTACTCAAGTGTGGACACAACACAATTGCCAAATTCCTCTAATCTGATGATTTTTCTTTTTGTTTCTCTCTATGTTTAGGTTGTTATGGGACACTTGGAATGGAGTCTGGAGTAATTGCTGATTCACAAATTAATGCATCCTCATTTTTAGAATGGCCTGAGCAACTGGGTCAACCAAGCACTTGGAACCCAGAAAGAGCCAGGTTGAAAAGGCCTGGACATTCTTGGGCAGCTTTTACTAATGATGAATATCAGTGGTTACAAATAGATCTAAACAAAGAACAACGAATAACAGGTAAGTACATATGAAATATTTATTTTAATGGAAGACAAAATATATGTATTGAATTAAAAATTGGAATTTAATTTCTGACAAAGTAGAAGAGAATGCCAGATTACAGTATTTATTTAAAAGATTTGATATAGCTGCCCATATTGTCAAATCAAATCTAATATCTTTATTATGGCCCTTGACCAGCCTTTACAATAGGAAAAGAGAAAGAGTTTGGTACAGCAGTTAATTATCATGGAAAAAAAATAATAAAACAATAAAACAACATATCTAATTAAAAGTTTTGTGCAGTTGTATGACTTGATGAAAATATTTGGCCACCTGGTATGTGAGTATATAGTTAGCGTCCCTTAAAAAGTAATAAACATAAAATCTATCAGTATGACCCTCAAATTTAGAGATGTTTGGGGAGATCAAAGCATGTCTTGGGGCATCATAAAAAGGACACCATATGAGGACATGGGCAAGAGTTTCTACCTCCCTGGATCCACAAGGGCAAAGTCTCTGTAAATAAGGAGTCCCATGAAATCTTCCCA